TGGATGGATGGATGGATGGATGGATGGATGGATGGATGGATGGATGGATGGATGGATGGATGGAGATTAAATTAGAGTTACTCATTCCTGTACAAACCATGTAGAAAATGTAACTTTCAAAAACAGTCTAAGCTGAAATAAGGAGAATTTGAAACTCAGATTCAGCCGTTATACGGTCCAAAATACGAGGCCAAAGTTGCTACAGCCAGCATTCCATCATTCTGTTCTAAATATGAAAAGTCAAGTATTATTTGTTCTCTATATCTGTAAAGTCTTTTCTTAGTCCCATTTCATCTGCCATCATCTTGTATTTACAGTCTGGCAATGTAAAAGCATCTCTTCCTTCAGAAAAAAAAAAAAAAATGACAGCCGTTCCTCGCTCTCCTAAAACCCGCAGGCTTTAGTCAGGAAAGCTTTTTTTATTCTATTGTCTCTGCAGTGTCTCCAGGAGAGAAAAACTGTTTTTTTTTTTTTCCTCTCCTTCTTTCTGTCTCTGGGTTTAATGTCTAATCCCTCCTTCAGAGGCAGAACGGATGCACGGATTCCACCGAGGCTGCGGCAGCTGCAACTTCCTCTTTCTGCACATTAGACTCACAAATCGACCGTCGAACAGTCTCAAAGGCCTTGTGTGGGAGGCAGAAACACAAAATGAGGAAAACAGTGGAAATGTTCGGCAGCACACAGAGAAGCTCTGCAGAATGTAGCAGGACCTGTTTCTGTTTTCAGCGTCTATTTAGGCTGAAGTGTTTCTCTAAAGGAGAAGAATCTGATGCAGAATAATGAACAGACTATAGATGGCTTGGGAAGCTTTTATGAACTATCTGATTTCAAGTTATTTAAGTTTCTGCTCCTCTATTAAAACAATAAAATATTTAAATTGGGCCATTTGATGCTACAGAAGCTTTTTTTTTTTACCTCTTATAGAAACACAATCTAGTCATTATTTGAGTTTAACAAAGCTTTAGCATCTGCTGAGACATCAAATAAGAGCTTGCCGTGGTCATTTCTAAGGAATATTGGTTCAGTTACAGCGGCACAAACGTAAAAAAAAAGCTTTCCGTATTCAGACAGTTTTAATATTATCTTTGTTTTTTTTAATCTGAAAGAGATTCCGTCTCCATTTTTCAGACAAATGGTCTGCTGATGTTGCTGTTGTCTGCTATTAAAGGAAACAGCATTAAGATGTCAGGTTGCTGTCTGAAAAAGACCAAATGAGGAATCAGCTGATTGAGAAACGGATTCATGAATAACCTATGATGCTGATCTTAATTTGTTCTCCCTCTGTGAAGTCAAATATTAAGGCTATTTTTTTTCTTTTAGTTTTTGCTTCACTCTACTTACTGTTTGTCATCAGTAATGAGTCTGCATCATCAGGGCAGCTACTATTAACATCCTTAAAAATATATTGTTTGTGTTTTTATCTGTTAAATCAAATGATAATCAAGCTAAGTAACATCTGAAATATTGCATGCAATAGAAAAAAAATGCCTGTGGAAATGTTCAGTCATTCAGGTCATAAAAACCACAAACAGGCTTAAAATGGAAGGCAAACTGGCTTTGGTTCAGTTTTTGAAAAATCCTCAATACCCATATAACTCAAATAAAAGCTAATATGTTAATGTTTACATGGATGCCTAAAGTCTGCATTAAGACCTGATAACTGGAGTTATTCCTGTGAATTTGTTGTATATTTTCAAGCAGAAATTAAGCATAAAACCCTCTGAGTTCAACAGGTTACTTCATCAGTACCTCAGCCTTACCATCTGATGTAAACACTTTTATTTATCCCCCCTCTGTAAAAAAGTTACAGACCCCTGCTTTGTACATTAAAGTTAGCAGAGCTGCTGAGGCTGTTTAGCCATTTGAATTGGGTGTGAGGAGCAAAGGCCGCCTCTAAAAGTTTGAGACCGCTGGTGGAAGATTGTCCTTTTTGAAATTGCTGATCTACTTAAACAGACACTAGATTCAGATGTAGGTAGAAAGTAAACATTCTTCCATTTTTTTTTTTTTTTTCTCTGCTATTTTGCATTTTGTGAAATTAAAGCGGAAGTCTGACGAGCTGAGATTAGCTGCTTAATTAGCTGGGGTAGCTGCCTGGGTACTAAGCTGCAGATTTATCTACTAAAGCACATGCTAACTTTTTTTTTTCTTTTACCTTGTTTGGACCATTATGTGTAAAATGACTTGTAAAAAAAGAAGACAGCTGATGGCTGTTTTTCTCTGACCAGAGCAGATTATTTTGTCTTCATTTAAACTGATGTCACTGTTTACTGTCTGAGCATTCATGCTGGCCTGTTGAAAGTTGCCTCTATCCAACGTCTGAATATTAGGAAATGAAAAAGATAACTTGTTGAACAGAAAGTCCTGTCCCGACTTTGAGGTTTCTGCTCCGTTAAACAGTTTATGCATTAGGATACTGGGTGTGGAACTCAGTGTCCTGCTGTATCAACATGGAATAAGTTATTTCTCCTGTAAAGTTGCCTTTTTTTTTCTTTTTCTTTTTGTTAGAGCTGCAACCAACGATTATTTTGAAAATAGATTAACATGTTCAGTATTTTTCTAATAATCGATTCATAATTGGATAGCCAAAGTTTTTTTTTTTATATATATAAAAGTAAACCAGGTGAAACAAAATGTTCCACTTGAGGAGTTCTGGATAGAGCATATTGACGGAAAAAATAATATTTTTATTTTAAATGCAAAGTGTATATAAAATATATATACAGGGGGCTATCTGAGGGAAGTAATTCTTTCTGTAGACGCCACGTGTTCACAGGGAAAGGCTAACTTAGTCTATTTCACTGCAGCACACAATGCAGTGTGGGTGTGACGACTCTAAGGCAGCACATGACACAGATACTACAAAAGATGTTACAGAGAAAAGCCCTTCAATTCCTCAAGTGTTTAGCTATGAGAGACACATTGTTCACTTCAATAAGAAGCCACCTATTGGAGGCTTTGCTGGGTATTCAAATCAATAAAATTATTAGGGTAACCACATTTTTTTCACCTGTCAAGTTTTGTTTTAATGTGTATTGCACATTTTCTGTTAGTCCAATAAAACTGAAATCCTTACTGAAATATTACTTTTTCCATCAGTTATTACATATATTAAACTGAAATAGCTGTTGCAAACATCCAAATATTTAGAAATAAAAATTGTTAAGAATAATAGGGGTGCCCAAGCTTTTTTATACGACTGAATAGGCAAGAACTAAAGGAAATCAACAGGCATAAGAAAATCCAAACATTGTTTTATTTAAAGATTAAAGAAATATGATAGATGTTTCTCTTTATTAAATCTAAATGTTTGGACTTCTGTTTAAATCTTGTGACTTTCCATGATCCTCGTGTTTAAAGAATGAAATAAGTCCTGATGGACGTGTCTGCAGAGGTCTGAACTTCCAATTTAGGATGTCCATCGTCACATTCTCACAGTCTCCTGGCCGTCCTTCTTCTGGACTGGATGTTCTGATTAAAGCTCCAGCAACTCAAGGCCTTTGCTGTCAAACTAGCTAATCCTCTGGTTTTACTTTGGTCTTTTGCAGAATACGCAGAGAGCATCGGAGATGGAAAGAGCGAGGAGTTCAAAGAAGCTGAGCGGAAGAGGATCATGGACCTTGCGGACAACTTTTAATCTTTCTCTTTCCCACACAGACGGAGAAACCCATCCAGGCAGACAGATTAGTTACATTCCAGACAGGTGAAGCCAAACTTTACTAAAACAGAAAAGAAAAAAATGTCCTGTAAAGAATTGAAGTAGGGGTAGCTTTTCTCTTTTTGCCTCAATCTCTCACACTGAAACTGAATATATGCAATCCGTCTGCTTAAATAAATAATCATTGGTTAAATTGTTTGCTCAGACAACTAGCTCGACCGAAACAGAAAACCAACATGATTACATCTCCTCCCCCATTTAACCTGTTTGTTTTTGTGAATTTAGCTGTAAACTATTTTCTAATAAAACACTTGGTATTAAACTCCTGCCTCCCTGTGCATCTTTTTTTTTATTAATGTCACGGTTTACAAAGTGAGACGTGCGCTGCGTCCTGATAGTCTGCACGCATGAATCTCATTACATTCCCCTTGATTATTGTTGCACAGCGAGCAGCGGCGGAGGAGGAGAGCGGGGAGCTTCGTTGGCAGATTTCCTCGCTGCGTGAGAATCCTCAGAAACATAACCTACTTGTGCTGGTTTTTCTGGGAACCCACCCACGGATGGATCTCAGCAGTCTCCCCCCAAGCTCTCGTCTCACTCCTGCCTCTCTTTGTGATGCGGCTCGCGTCGATGTGGGGGTGTATTATAGTACAGCTGTATACACAAACAAATCCCCTGTTATTCTGCCTGCCTTGTGTACCAGACTCTATTGGATCTGTGCTTTCTTTACACTTTGAAGCCAAAAAACACATTTTAATTACTGTTGCTTTAGAAATCAGTACAGTGTAGATATTTATATAGATTCCACCACTTAAACTTGTTTTAGTATCTATTTTTAGTCAGAACCTTTACTTCCTCCTGACATCAGGCAGATTGTAGTGTCCTTTGCTAAATATATAAAGATGAGATTTAATTTGATCAGAGTGCAGAGAGCTTCTTGATCAGAGAACCGGTTCCCTGCTGTCACCAATAAGCAGCCAGTGGTGCTGCTCTCCGTCTGATGCTTGACTTTCTGACCCATCAGCAGAAGCGAAGCTTCATTACTGTAACTGGAAAGGTGGTTCTAGATAGAAAAAAGATGCACTTAACCTACGTAGTTTTACTGATCTAAGTTTAGATTTCCATTTTCTACAATAATGATATTTTAAAGGTGTTTTTCTGTTCTTTTAAAATTTTCTCATTAACGCATTAAACGCAATAACAAGTATCAATTCCATTTATAACAAAATTTCTGAACTAAAAGTGGAAAAATTCAGGATAAATACGCTCTTCTCATTCTAGTCTGAATTGTTTGGCAAACAGAAAATTCGGTACAGAAAAATTACTGTGTCCCAGAGATTGCCGTTTTTCATTTTCTAAAAGACCCCCCCACATACACACACACCACCGCCACCACCATTTTTTATTATAAAAAATGTTTATATAAACATTTTTTATAATAATTTTTTTTATATATAAAAACACATTTTTATTATTAAAAAATGTTTTTTATATATAATATAATAAAAAAAAAAACATTTTTTTTATATTATAAAAAAAAAGTAAAAAAAAAAAAAAAACATACTCGGACAACTCACACTGCGGTTTGAAAGTGTAATTGCTAGTTTAACTAGTATTAGAACAGGAACCGTGCTTCAAAGCACAGTTTCTGATTTAAAGGTTTAAAACTCTTTATAGGGCAAGTCACCGTTTTTGATCACTTGCATACTGCTTAGAAATGGAGCTCCCCGTCCCTCAGTGAGGTCTAGAAGCACAAGATCTATATCCAGCCATTCAGCAAAGATGCTGCTACATGGCTGTGTATCTTATTTTGGCATTTGACCAATTAGATGAGACCTTGAATGATATATTACCTACTGTTAATTAAGTTGAAGAAGTGAACAAGTCAAGAAAAAAGTTAAAAAGTTTAAAGTAATTCTAGTTAACAATTAAATTTAGGTTAATAAAACTAAAAAAATGTACCGGTAAGTGCCGGTATCAGCATTAATGCCTCTAAGGTTATGTTGTACAAAAAAACCCTGTTTCTTTCTCTCTGAGTGTTTTTCATGAATTTCTTATAGAAGCACTTTTATTATTTTCTTAATATATTTGGGTGATTTATCTTGTTATTACATTGAAATTCATTTTTGCCATCAAAATATCCATATTTTTTAAATGTTACAAAGGTAATAAGGTCTTGTCCAGGATTTCAATAACACTATTGGCCTAACATTTTGATTTTCAAAGTATTTCACTGAGTGCTCTATAAAGGGTTAAGCATAATACATTTTGAAATTAAAATAAGCTAAATAACCTTTTAAGACAAAAACTAATGAAACAAAACTTTACCAAACTGACACAAATATAAGTTCATGATTTGTCGAACTTGCACATAATAAAACCTGACCCCTTTAGAAGTATTTCTTTTAATTTATTTTTGTAGTTAAATGTTGAGTAATGTTGAAAATTACGGAATGATATGATTTTGAGGATTCCTGAAAGTTGGACTTATATTGCTAAGACCTATGCCAAATTCGAGAATGATTCATTGGTGACTTTTTTTGTAGCTTAGCTCTAATAACTGTAAATCTAAGCATATTGGAGCATTCCCTTCAGACTCTAAACCTTAACTTAGACATCTGCAAAAAAGATGTCAGCATTTCATAATCCCAACTTTTTCTTTATCAAGAAAAATACCCTACCCTCCCTATCAGATCTTCATGGGCAACAACATAAGATGACTCACAGCGGCACATTACTAACTCACCAGGTGAATGCAAACCCATTCCAGCGCCGGGTAAATGCAAAACAGAAAGGAACTTGTGCATATAGCAAACTCCTCAAACTGTCTTCAGCTGATTAAAAATAAACCTGAATAATTTTTGGACCAAAGGAAGAGTGATCAAAAGGTAATCCACCTCGAAACCAATCTAAATCTTGGCGTAATTATGGAGTCCGACCTGAACCTTCAGAGGCTCATCAAGACAGTACGAGGGACCTACCCGCCCCAGCCGGTGAACAATACCTCCTTAACGACCAACCCTTAACAATCATAGACAGGTTTCAGGTATTACAGGAGACAATCCCCCCTCTTAATGGCAATCCCCCCCTTTAACGACCGACCCCTAGAATCATAGACAGGTTCAGATATTACAGGCTAACGATGGAACTAACGACCCATTCATCGGTTACCATTGCATGTTTCCAAGCAATACGAGGCCTTGTCCATATAAGACTCAAACTCATTGCGGACATTTGAATTGAGAAAGCTTCCTGGAGAGGTGGCGAAACGTCTTCAAATCTTGAAAACCAAGTCCAGTGGATATTTTTTGAATTTTTACGGAACAGTAACAAATCTTCAGGATTAATGTATCAGCAGGACCTTAAAAATATAATGCATGCATTCATTTTTATTAGCAGTGATTACAGAACAATTTCTTCAGAGGACTGCCTAAAATGTCTAAAACAACAGCAGCAGGTGATCCAGAGTGCTGCTGCCTGCATCCTCACTAAAGTTACAATAGTGGAGCACATCACCTCAGTTTGAAAAACACCCCACTGCCTCCCAGTCTCTCATAGTAAATAAACTACTTCTACAGTATAAGTCACTGAATGACTGAGCTCCTAAATACATTACAGACTGGTTGTCAGTGGATCAACCACCCACACCTCTCAGGTCTTTTAGCTTAGCCTAAATCTACTTTGCTTACCCATAACCAAACATGGCGAAGAAGCCTTTTGTCTTAATGTTCCACTAATCTGAAATAAGCTTCCAAAAACCTGTAAAATCTCTGAAACCCTCAGTTGCTTTGAATCATAACCTACTTCCATAGAGTAGCCTTTGATATTGTAACATCTAAACACAGTTAAGATTTTAATCCAACTTCCCTTTCATTTTTTATCATTTTATTTTTGTATTATAATTTCCTATTATTAATTAACTTCTCTTTTATTTCTCATGTTCAGCACTTTAAATCATTGTGCTGATAAATGGTGCCTAATAAATAAATGTGCCATGCTCATTCTGTTAAACTTCCTGTTGTCTGTAGGAGTGAACGTCAATCAGTCGGTCACTGTAGCCAGTTTAACATAAGGTTCTCCTAGTTGGGTCCACATTGACGTTTTATTGAAGAAGTTTCTTTTATGTCTGATTTTTGGTAGTGACAGACCTTCATAGAAAATAAAAGCTCCTTTTAAATAGCTTCTTCCATCAGACCGGATGCCCTTAGTGCAGGAGCTGGTGTTTCAGGATTTCGTCCTAAAATTCATCACTCAGTTTTTCATTTATTATCCCATTTTGTGGCTGTTTGTACCAAACATCTTTGGGGCTCTTTTACATTTATAAATCAGATTGTTTTAAATTTTTTTGTGCCTTATCTTTTGTGTTGTGAACATCTGTATTAAGCTCTCATTTAGCACATGAAGCCCTCTGTGGTTAAGGATTTTTGGCAGCGAGCAGCGGTGCTGGAAGGGAACAGGGGATACTCGTTGACAGATGTCACATCTGCTTCCTCTGCTAAGTGTCTTCAGGAACTAATATCGCTCAGTAACAAGATGGGGAGACCAGTGGGGTGTCGGCTGCATACCGTATCGGCGGAGGAGGAGGAGGTGCGGCCCTGTGCATCTCTTATCAGTGATTATGACTGCGGCGTGTTTAACAGCGGTCGTACAGCAATTTCACAGCCGAGGGGAAGGGGAATAATTGTATTTTCCAAATGACTGAGTGCAAACAGTGTACCACTGTGCACTTGGGTTTGTCTCTTTTGGTCGACACTGAGAGGAGAAGGCAGTCTTTTACTAATGGCAAGGAGAGAAGTAATAAAATGGAAAAAATTAAAATTTGATTTCTGAATACCCTAAAATTATAATTTCAGAAAGAGATTTCCTTATTATTGCCTTCCTATTCTATATTGAAACAGTTTTAAAAGCCTTCAGATGAATCTTGTATTGCAACACTATAATCTCCAGCTGAAAGATTTTGACAGACCAACTTTGATTTTAAGACATACACTCAGAAAATACAGCACATGCAAAAAAAAAAAGAAAATGGTGTAATTATGAAATGAAGTAAAAACATGAGAATTTTTTTCAATTCTTATCTGTTGATCAAATAACCCTCAAACTTCTGAGCAGCAATCATTAGCATTATACATCATGGGGTAAAGATAGGATGTGAACCATTGATGATTTAGGTCCAGACAAACGTTTCTCCTTGGATTTACCTTGGCCCTACTGTGGCTCTACCTGTCTTATACCTCTTCCAAAATAGTTATTCTGAGCTGTGTTCTATATTTAGGCTGCTATACGGTTAAGCTGCTGG